ATCTGATGAGCTGTGGGAGGACATAAAGAACATCATTCATTCATGAAAAAAGCCAAAGTTCATTTAAAAGACAAGAAAGTGAAAAAAGATCAGTGTGGATGCCAGAAGGTACACTGAAACTTGCTCTTAATTGTAGAGTAGGTAACAAAAATGTATGAAATTATCAAGTCAAAGAGTTGAACAGAAAATTTCAAAGGGCAGCTCAAGGAGACAAAGTAAAGTATTATAATGAAATGTACAAAAACCTAGAGTTAAAAAACGAAAAAGGAAGAATATACTCAGCTTATCTTAAACTGAAGAACACAAGAAAAATTCAAGCATCAAGATGAAAAATTTTAAGATGGTAAGGGAAAAATATTGAATAATACAGGAGACACCATAAGAAGATGGGAATAATATACCATCATTGTACTGAGAGAAAATTAGTCGATATTAAATCATTTCAAGAGGCAGCATATGAGCAGGAACCAATGGTACTGAATGAAGAAGTTCAAGTTATCCTGAAAGTATGAGCTAAAACCGGACTCCAGGAATTGATGGTGTCTCAATGGAAATATTTCAACAATCTGAATAAACACTGGAATTGCTCAATCTTTACACCCAGAAATTTGGAAGACAGTTATTTGGCCAACTGACTGGAAGAGATCCATATTTGTACTCATCCAAAAGAAAGGTGAACCAAAATATGTTCAAATTATTGAACAATATTATTGCTATCACATGTATGTAAAATATTGGTAAAGATCATGCAACAATGGTTGCATCAGTACATTGACAGCGAGCTGCCAGAGGTTCAGGTTGGATTCATTATAGGATATGGAACAAGGGAGAGTACTGCTAATGTCAGATGAATCTTGGCTGAAAACGAAGAATACCAGAAAGACGCTTACTTGGGTTTTATTGACTATGCCAAGGCATTCAACTGTGTGGGTGATAACTATAGATATCTTTGAGAAGAACAGGAATTCCAGGACACGTCATTGTACTCATGTGAAACCTGTTCGTGGATCAAGAGACAATTGTGGGAACATATAAAGGAAATACTGTATCTTTTCAAATCAAGAAAATTGTGTCTTCTTGTTTTCAAGTTGTATACTCTCACCACATTTTTTCAATCTATATGCTGAGGAAATAATCAGAGAAACTGGTTTATACGGAGAAGATCATTAGGAAAGGAGAACAGCTTATTGACAAACTTCAATATGCTGATGAAATACCCTTGCTTGCTACAACTGAGGAGGACTTCGCTTGCAGATGGAGATCAAAGATAGCATTTAGTGTGGATTACAGTATTAAAGCAGCCTTCAGTATGATTACAACTCAATGAAAAGAAAACCAAAATCCTCACAGGTGGTCTAATGGGTAACATCATGATAAGCAGAGAAAATACTATGACTAGAAGAATTAAATTAAGTATTTCGCTGAATGGGACATTATATTTGTGATTCTTGGAATATTGAATAGGTAAGTGGTGATTTTGTTGATATTAGATGCCCCAAATCAGGCCCAACTAACAGTAATCGTATATTCAAAGAAACAAAACACTGCTCTCGCCTCGGTCATTCTCATTTCAGCCCATTGTTGCCTCCAGTGTGTCAATCCATCTCATTGAGGATCTCCCTCTTTTTCAATCCCTTTCTCCTTTTTTCCAGGTATGATGTCCTTTTCCAAGGACTGCTCTCGTCTGATAACATGTCCTAAATAGATGAGATGAAGTCTTGCCATCCTTGATTCTAAGGAGCATTCTGACCATATTTCCTCTAAAGTTTATATGTTTGTTCTTCCGACAGTGCATGGTGCTTTCAATATGCTTCATCAGCCCCATAAGACAAGCGCACCGATGATTCTTCAATCTTTCTGATTTGTTATATGCCATTCATGTGTAGATGAGATGATTGAAAATAACATGGCTTTGGTCAAGGGTACCCTTGTCCTAAATAACTGCCGTCTGCAGTCTGGATAGCAATTCATCATAGAACAAAACAAAAACAAATGGAAGCCTTACAAATCGACCAATTCATAACATCATGATAAATAGAGAAAAGAGACATTTTCAAGAATTTCATTTTACTTGGATCCACAGTCTATGCTAATGGAAACAGTTGTTAAGAAATAAAATATTGTATTGTATTGGTCAAAACTGATCCACAAAACTTCTTTAAGATGTTGAAGAACAAAGGTGTTACTTGAAGGTTAAGGGGTGCTTGGCCCAAGCATGATGTTTTGAATCAGTTCACAGGCATATTAAAGCTGGAAAATGAATATGGAAGATAGGAGAAAAAAATGGTACATTTGAATTGTGGTATTAGCAATTAGTATTGAGTTTGTTATGGACTGATTTAAGAAAGACACATCTGTCTTAGAAGAATAGCTAGAATACTCCTTAAAATAAAGGATGCTGAGGAAAGTGACCGGTGATAACTAAAACAGATGAAAATTAAGTTATCTTATGACCCAGAAATTCCACTACTGGGCATTTACCCAGAAGAAATAAGAAACAGGCATGACCAGGCATCTGCCCTCCTGCTCATCACTGCGTAGTTCACAATCACAAAGAGTGAGAAACAGCCTATTTCTATTAATAGATGCGTTGATTGAAAAAATCTCAGGTATATACACACAATGGAGTACTAGGCACCCCTAAAAAACAGTGATGAAATGATCAAGCACTTCATCTCGTGGAAAGAGTTGGAGGATATTATGCTGACCAAGGTTAGCCAAGCACCAAAGACAAGTACAACATAAGCTCACTGGGTAAGCTTGAAAACAGAACAGGCATAGAGGAAAATGTACATATTGCACAGTTCCCAATACTCTGACTAGAGTGAGGCCAAGCACAATGATGCATACACCATCAAAATAAAAAAAGAAAGAAGGAAAGAAATAAAAGAAAAAAAGTTTTAAAAAGATTTAGGTACCACTTGTGTGGAAAGCCATGAGATGCCACACTGAGAGGGCAACACTACAACCGACAGTGGGTCATGTTTCGGCAGAGCCCTTCTCATTCGGTGCGCCTCCCCTCCAGGTGATGACAGGACAGGCCTGCAGCCAGAGTCTGGGCTGATGCCATGGAGACAGGCTAGTTTCAAGTACCAGCCATGCCCATTGGAAAGCAGACATCATTTTTCCTGGGGAGTGGGGGGAGTGGGGGGGATTTTTTCCTTAAACAATAAGGGTGGTTTTTGTTTGTTTATTTTTGTTGCTTTTTTGACGAGCATACCTTTAATTTATTTCTAAGACTTGGGTTTTATTTTTGTGTTTCTGACATCTGGCACCTCTATGTCCTGGAAAAGAGGAAGGCATCTTTCCATTCCCTGGGGCTTGAAAAATCATTCCCTTTGCATTCCAAGCTCACTACCAAATGAGTAAAACATTGGCTGTGCATTCTCCCATAGACTCCCCTCCTCTGAACTTGGACAGACAGTGACGAGGGCAGTTAGACTGAAGGAAAAGAGTAAGAATCATTGCATCCTAATCCTAGTTAGAACAGTTAATCATCACCCTTACCCCAGCCCCATAAACTTAGAAGTAAGATCCCTGGAGGTTTTATTGAAATATTGTTCACATTTAAAGGTCTGTAATGGTGCTTCAAGTGTCAATGTAGCATGTGAAAAACTTTGTACAGAAAGGTACAATTTCTGAGTGTTGAAATGTGATGACAGCACCGCTTTTACCTTTAACTTGAAATCAAAACGTCAGATTTTATTTTTTTATAATTTAAGGACAGTGAAGTTAGGGGATGAGAATATGTCTAAGTTAGCTTCTACAGGTCTAATCATTCAAATGTAACCAGTTTTTTGGGGTTTTATAGCTAAAATTATATTTGTGTATAAAATTATTAACTAATCTGTAAATGGTAATAAATATATTTGCAATGAAAAAAATATGTTGGGAAACCTGAACCCACCTACCCTCTTAGTGTTGTTGTTCTTTAAACTTATTTTATATCCTTAAATGCCAAGACTTTGAACAGAAAAATATGATGAGTCATTTGAGGTTGGTCAAACGTTAGTCTTGACATGATCTAAATTAGATAGTATAGAAGTCTTCTAGGAAACTGTAGAGAAATGGAAGTCCCACCTTCAGCAATATACACATAAATGCACACAAGTCATCAAAAAAAGAAGGTACAACAAGGAAACAGATGGACTTTGGGCCTTTTCTTAAATCTTATCTCAGTATAAGATGGTTTGTTCTAATAATATGGATATGTATGAAACTCACCTTCCAATAAGAACACTGAAGACAAAATGGGTGCATAAGCAAATGTGGGGAACAAAGGTGAAGGTGCCCAGCTTTAAAAGATACAGTGCCTGAGGTCTTAAATACTTGAAGCTAAACAAGAAGCCATCTAGAAAGCAATCAAATGAATGTGAAGGAGTATGGACAAAATGGAGACCGAAAACCCACTTTAAGATATTTGGACCGTTCCTTACAGAAGATCCAGACAGTATAGAACGGATAAAATCCATGACTATGCTCTAGTTCTCTAATATTTCCTTCCCTTAGTATTACAGTCTTAGTTTTACTTCATTAATCTTTGAGACCTGTGTATGTTCATTTGTATAATTAAGATTGTTTGTTGCATAAAATTCCAAAATAGATAAAACCCTCAAAAATAGTAATGGGAGTAATGATTTCCTGAGGGTTCGGGAAGTGAGGGAGTGGGTGAGAATTGATAGCAATGATGACTGTTCAACCCTACACAAAAGGAACAAATAGCAGGATTGTAAATGAACAAACACATGGGATGGTGTAAAATATGGCAAAATAATAATCATACAATATAATAATTAGGTTTCCAGAGGTGTCAGGGTGGGGGAAGGGGCTAAAGAGGAGCTAATATCAAAGAATTTAAGAAAGAAAATGTTTTCAAAATGATGGTGGCAGCAGATGTATAATTAAGCTTGATCTAATTGAATTATGGATTGTTATAATATCTGCAAGAGCTCCCATTAAAATTATTTTTAAAACATATATCAAGAATGGTGACATTTTTTATATTTACCTGGCAGGGGAGATACCATGATCATGAAGGAGGTTTTCCCAGAGCGAGGCTCATCCATTGCACTTCGGAAGTGCTGATCCCTGTGATTTCCCCAAATGTGGGAAATTCAACTGCATAATTTGTGGTAGTGGGGGACTGAATTTGCGCAGTCCCCTGGAAAAAAAAGAATGGTGACATTTTATCTCACATGTTTTGGACAAGTTATTAGGAGGGAGCAGTCCCTGGAAAAGGGCAGCATGCTTGCTTAAATAGATGGTTAGTGAACAAAACGAAATCTCTCCACAAGACAGATTCACATAGTGGCTCCAATAATGGGCTCAAACATAAGGACAATTGTGAGGCAGTATTGGCATAGGACCAGGCAGTGTTTCACTCTGATGTACACCCATCATTAGAAGTTGGAAGTGATTTGACAGACTATAGAAAAAATAACAACATGACAATCATTTGATCTAGTAAATCAGAATTCACTCCGCAGTTTGAGTAAGCCTCATCAAAAAAAAAAAAAGAAGAAAAAAAGAAAGAAAAAGAAAAGAAGTTTATTAACAAAGAAAGCTTCTCCTTCAATATTATAAACCCACCTCTTTTCATATTTCCTAGCCTGTTGCTGAACTATGGATGTTGTACTTGCCAGTCTCCCAATGAAAAAAACAATTGCTTAGAATCTCACTCCAGAAAATAGATGTAGACATTTGCTGTTTGTGGGGGTACCTTCGAGTCAATTCCAACTTGATGCTATATAGGTTTCTAGCTTATATCCTTTATGGGAGCATAATGGCATAGACATGATCCCAATTGGTTCAACTTCTCTAGAGCTACCCAATTATGAAAGTTAGGATTACTGTGCCAAGTTGGCCAACAGAAATCTGTGGGAAACAGAAAGATTTCTCCCAAGTTGTCTCCTCCAAATATATGCCAACCCTAGCTGCTTGTTACACATCGTAAATGGCTACACTTGGAGGTCTATAAAAGGAGGTCAGAGGTTATTCTCCCTAAGGATTATCGGCCATCTAGAGCAATCAGACTGTATAGTCTGTCCCAGCCGAAGAGGGGCCCACTCCCTCTGATAAGGATAGTAGTGGATTGTTTCCCTGAAGGAGAGCACAGAGAGGTCAAGCTCACTTAAGGGTGGCCAAGGTTGGGCTGCTATCATGAATCTAGTGTCCACCCATCTCATCACATGTATACCTTTGATCTCTCCCCTTCCTATTACACCCCTACCTCAACCCCTTCGTGTTATGCTTATGCCCATTGTATACCCCCCTCCTATTGCTTGTGTTGCCTATTGATCAACCCCTTCCTGTCACAAATGTCTTTACCTGTAATTAGGAGCCATGGACACCTGCAAAAATATATGTCATGGTTAGCAATAAATTGCTCTCTCTCTCCTGCTCTCTGTCCTACCCTGGACCAAGAGGAGCTGAGGTGAGCATGCTACCATGAAATGTGTCTGACTTCTTTATTTCACTGTCTCTCCCATCTCTCCTATTTCTCTATGACTTTACTATAATATATATATAAAATAGTATGTAATATATATATTACATGCTATAATATATATATTATAGTATGTTATATATACATATTTTAGCCATAAATGAGCTTACTGAACCTGTGATAGTGTGGGGGACAGGCTTCCCCCACAGAAACATATGGGCAAAGTTAAATCAGGTCACAGCTTGATTGGAGGATAACAAAATAAATAAAGAGGGGCAGCATCGCATCTCCCTCTTGCTCTTTGATGATCAGATCAGGGTGCTCCTGCTTTAGCTAGCTCTCTGCCTCAACTTGTGTGCTACACTACCTATGGGACAAGCCAACCCATAGATCATGTCACTAGATCAGTAGTTCCCTACCTTTCTAATGCCGTGATCCTTTAATGTAGTTCCTCATGTTGTGGTGACTCCCAACCATAAATTATTTTCGTTGCTACTTCATAACTGTAATTTTACTACTGTTATGAATCGTAATGTAAATATCTAATATGCAGGATATATTTTCATTGTTACAAGTTGAACACAATTAAAGCATAGTGATTCATCACAAAACAATATGTAATTACATATTGTGAAATATTTATATGTATCCCAATTGTCTAGATGACCCCCGTTTAAGAGTCATTCAACCCCCAAAAGGGTCACAACCCACAGGTTGAGAATTGCTGTGCTAGAGCTTGAGGCGACTTCAAGTCCTCTTAGCCACACTGCTGATGTGTACATTGCTTAACTTGAGGCTGTTTGATGCCATCGCTGTGCTTGAGTTCCAGCTTCCGTCAGGACCTGCTTCGCTCAGCTCCTGAGCTACAGACTATCAATGACCCACCCTCCTGTCTGCTACCTGGCATCAAGCAGACTTTGCCTGCCTTGCCCTAGGAAGGACTCAGCTGTCTGATTCCTTGACCTTGGACCCAGCAGCCCGCATGAGTTGAACACTTCCAGTATATTAAATGTTCAATGAAAATGAGTAATACTGGAGGCATGGAGCACTCTATATGTGAACTTTAGCAAGGAGATTTAAGAGGCAAAAATGAACCAGCTGACTGATTGATCTTTCCCATGAACTAATCCACAGTCTTTGAGACTCTGTGGTTTCCTGATTCCTATCTGGTGATATTTTGCAGTTAGACTATCAGCTATTTGTGATGCCTTGACCTGCATGTGTCTTTTGCTGTCTTTCTTATTCTTTTAGTTCGACTTCCCAGAGCTCGCACTCTCTTTTCCTGAGTCACAGTCAAAATTAAGTGTTTACATGTAAGCGCTTGCTTAGACTCCCTTTTGCAGAGAACACAAGTAAAGGTAATCCTGGATCATAAATTGTTTTTACATCAAATATTTCCCCAAATTAAAAAAATATATATAGAGAGATATATATAAATAATTTACACATTTAAATGTTTGTGCCCTCCAAAGTTTTTACTTAAAGTTATCTAAGTGTTAATTTTCCCAAAGAGATATGAAATCATTCCTTTTTGAATGACAGGTAGATAGATGTAGATAAAAAAGTGAATTTTACAAACATATATTTGAGCAAGCTACACATTATTCAATTTAAGTCAACATTATTCAAAATTGTCTTTGATTTTGCATAGTCAGTGATATGATAATAAAAAGATCTTGCAAAGGATAAGCTAACACTTTATAGTTATGACTTGTAATTCAGTTTAACCAGTTAAATTTTAAAATGGCCTTTGAGTGCTGTGAAATTGCCTAATAAAACTTGGCAACCCAGTTAGTTCACTGCCCAATTAACTAAATAATGCATTTTGTGCCCAGATTTCTCCATTCAAAACTGAATTTAACACATAGTTTTGGTTTGCATAATTGTAAACTTAAATATGTATGGTTAACTCTCAATTTTTAAATTAGAAGTGATATATTTATAGTTATGCCATTAGTTAACTATAGAGTATTAATTATATTTCTCATATTCTAGTTCAATAAGGGAGTAAGAAATTAAATTTTAAGCATCAAGCCAATATTTTGGAAATAGCAATACCAAAAATAATACAGGATACTTAATGACCTTCCCATACCCAGTGTTAATTTTAAACATGACACTTACTTTTAGGACTCTACATTAATTGCACTTGACTTATCAATATCAATATGCTGTATAAGGTTTGTAAATAACCACCACAAATCATGATTTTCTTGCTCTGTTTTCCTTTCCTTCTTTTTTGTAAAACCCAAAAACTCACTGCACTGGCTCAATTCTGATGAACAGTGACCCTAGAGGACATACTAGCCCTGTCCTTGTGGGTTTCTGTGGTTGGCAGTCTTTCCTGCAGCAGAAAGCACCACCTTGTCATCAAGGTGGTGACTTGTAGCCACCTTTGTGTATCAAGGAATAGTGCATGGATCCGCACTGCTGACGTTGTGGTGAGTCCAGCATGTCACCAGCTACACCAGTAGAATGTAACCCTCTTGCCACAAGGGCTTGCTCTTCAAATATATGACATTTGCACTTTGATTCTTGATTATTACCTTACCAAATAACAATGTGGGTTTATGTATTTGTTTAACTTGTTATTACTTTTCTTCAGCTATCTTTATGTATGAATTCTGAATTGGTACATGCTATAAAGGAGCATTTTGGATCTTAAGAACATACTGAAGGATCAGTTGAACCTATGGATCACTGCAATGAAAAGGGTAGACATATACAATTAGTGTTTGACTTTCCAGATGAATTCTATGATTCTAAGAAAATAAATTTGGGATGCTTTTATTTTTGACTAAAAAGCATAATAAAAACCCATATCAAAACAACTTTTTTAAAACCCTGTGTACATTATTTTTGTTTATAAATATTCTCATTTTTAATACCTGAAACAGTGTTTGAAAATTTCTGCAAGACTTATTATTTCTTAAGGATTTCATTTAAAATTGTGCCCCCCTACCCCTGTCATGATCCTAATTCTATCTAACAAATCAGGCTAGACCAGAGGATGTACACTGGTACAGACAGGAACTGGAAACACAGGGAATCCAGGACAGATGATCCCTTCAGGATTAGTGGTGCGAGTGGTGATACCAGGAGGGTGAAGGGAAGGTAGGGTAGAAAAGGGGAACTGGTCACAAGGATCTACATATAACCTGCTCCCTGGGGAATGGACAACAGAAACATGGGTGAAGGGAGACGTCAGGCAGTATAACGTATGACAAAATAATAACAATGTATTATAAATTATTGTAATAATTTATAACAAATGGTTATAATTTTATTTTACTTTTATAATAATATTATTATAAATAAATTAATATAATTTATAAACGGTTCATGAGGGAGTGGAGAGGGAGGGGAAAAATGAGGAGCTGATACCCAGGGCTCAAGTAGAACACAAATGTTTTGAGAATGATGAGGGAAACAAATGTGCAAATGTGCTTGACACCATGGATGGATGGGTTTTGAGAAGCGTTGTATGAGCCCCCAATAAAATGATTTTTAAAAATTGTGTCCCATAACTTTTACTTGCGCTGACTTATTTTATTACTTTGCTTAATTGTGGTTTTGATCTCCAATGCTGACAGATTTTATGCAGCAATACAAAATAATCTTTAATACTTCTGTTTCAAATTTTACCCACTTGAATAATAAGATTATAATTTGCTTAAATGAAAGACATTTAAACTCCTACTATTCATTTGTTGAAAATC